AGGTGAAATTAAAGAACACAGTGACAATCACTCACGAGAGACAGTTGATACACAACAAAGAAAAGAGGAAAATACTGGACAAAAGGAGCCGAGCAAAACAATCTCCTAAAATGTAAGCAGCAGACAGTAGTGAAGAAGAGAGCAACACATGCATGTCACCACCTTCTTTTCCCCAAGGAATAAAAAGAAAGAAAGAGGAAGCCCATTTCGAGAAGTTCATGGATATTCTGAAGGAAATTCATATAAACATAGCACTCGTGGAGGCTTTGAGAAAATGCCAAATTATGTGAAATTCATGAAGGATGTGCTCACTAATAGAAGGAAGTTTGAAGAATTCAAGGTGGTGACACTAAAGGAAGAGTGTAGTGCAATTATGAAAATAAGATCTCATTAAAGGAAAAAGACACAGGCTCGTTTCCTATTCCTCTATCCATTCGAGGAAAGGAGTTAGGTAGAGCATTATGTGACTTAGGGAAAAGCATCAACTTAATGCCTCTATCCATTTACAAGAAGTTAGGGATCGATAAGGTTAGATCAACTACAGTCACCATCCAACTAGCTGATAGGTCCATCACTTATTTAGAAGGAAAGATTGACATTTTAATTGAAGTAGGTTAATTCATATTTCCAGTAAATTTTATTATTTTAGACTATGAAGCAGACCATGATGTACCAATTATCATGGAGAGACCATTTTTAAAGATCAGTAGAACAATAGTAGATGTTTACAAGAGAACCATAACATTAAGAATGGGTAACTATAAAGTAGAATTTAATATCAATAACATTTTGAAATATCCAATAGAGGCAAGAGGAATGTTCTGCAGTCTACGAGCTCGCCCAACACATGTGTTGGTGCAAAACCCCAAGAAATTATAACGTCGTTCAAAATTATGCGTACTCGTAAGATATCTCAAAGAGACGAAAGGTGGTCTGTTTTATGACCCTCATGAAAATAGAGTGTTTGTATCAACAAACGCTACATTCTTAGAGGAAGGCCACATAAGAAATCATCAACCTCACAGCAAACTAGTATTGAGTGAGATTTCTGAATAAGCTACTAATAAAACAACAAGAGTTGTTGATCAAGCTGGTTCTTCAACAAGAGTTGTTGATGAAGCTGGCACTTCTGGTCAATCACATCCTTCTCAAGAGTTGACAATGCCTTGACGTAGTGGGAGGGTTATAACTCAACCCAATCGTTATTTGGGTTTGGCAGAAACACAGGTCGTCGTACCTGATGATGGCGTTGAGGATCCATTGACCTATAAACAGGTAATGAACGATGAAGATAGAGATCAGTGGATCAAAGCCATGAATCTTGAAATGGAGTCTATGTCCTTCAATTCAATATGGGAACTTGTAGATCAACCAGATGGGATAAAACCTATTGATTGCAAATGGATCTACAAGAGGAAACGAGACCAAACTGGTAAGGTACAGATCTTTAAAGCTCGACTTGTAGCAAATGATTATACCCAAAGAGAAGGGGTGGGCTATGAAGAAACCCTCTCTCCTGTTGTTATGCTTAAATCGATTAGAATACTCTTGTCCATTGCCACATTTTATGATTATGAAATTTTGCATATGGATGTTAAGACTGCCTTTCTAAACGACAATCTTAGGGAGAGTATCTATATGACTCAACCAGAGGGGTTCATTGAACAGGATCACTAGCAAAAGGTTTGCAAGCTTAAAAGATCCATTTATGGGTTGAAACAAGCATCTCGATCTTGGAATATAAGGTTTGATACTGCGATCAAATCTTATGGGTTTAAACAGAATGTTGACGAACCTTGTGTTTACAAGAAGATAGTCAACTCTACAGTAGTTTTTCTAGTGTTGTACATTGATGATATCCTACTCATAGGGAATGATGTGGGATTTCTGACTAACATTAAGCATTGGATAGCGACACAACTCCAAATGAAAGATTTGGGAGAGGCTTAGTTTGTTCCTGGATCCAAATTGTTTGAAATCGCAAGAAAAAGACACTAGCATTGTCTCAGGCATCGTACATCGACAAAATATTGGTTCGGTATAAGATGCAGGACTCCAAGAAAGGATTATTACCTTTCAGGTACGGAGTTCATTTGTCGAATGAACAAATTCCCAAGACACCTCAACAAGTTGAGAATATGAGACATATTCCCTATGCATCAGCAGTCGGTAGTCTGATGTATGCCATGTTGTGTACCCGACTCGACATATGCTATGCTGTGGAAATTGTCAGCAGATATCTGTCAAATCTGGGACATGCTCATTGGACTACCGTTCAAAATATCCTCAAGTATCTTAAGAGAACGAGGATATGCTAATGTATGGCGCTAAGGATCTGATCCTTGCAGGATACACTGATTCAGACTTTTAAACCGATATCGATTCGAGGAAATCGGCATCGGGATCTGTTTTCACTTTAAACAGAGGGGCAATAATATGGAGAAACATAAAGCAAGGTTGCATTGCTGATTCCACCATGGAGGCTGAGTATGTTGCTGTTTGTGAAGCAACGAAAGAATCTGTATGGCTTAGGAAATTCTTATCTGAATTGGAAGTTGTTCTAAATATACATCTGCCTATCACTCTTTAATGTGATAATAGTGGAGCAGTTGCAAATTCTAAAGAACCAAGAAGCCATAAGCGAGGAAAACATATTGAGCGCAAATATCATCTCATAAGGGAGATTGTGCAACGAGGAGATGTGATTGTCACACAAATAGCTTCAAGCACAACATTGTTGATCTAGTTACAAAACCCCTCACGGCTAAAGTGTTTGAAGGGCACCTAGTGAGTCTAGGACTACGAGTTATGTAATCTAAGGCAAGTGGGAGAAAATGCATGGGTACGTGATGCCGTAATTTATTGTCTTTATGTCTCTCTCTGCTCAACATTATAAAACCCCACTAGAGTTTTAGTCCAAGTGGGAGCTTGTTGGGTTTATGTCCTAAAACTCATAGTTTGTAAACAAAAACATATTCTATTTTCAATAAAGTTATTATTGATGTTTATTAGTAAAAATTGTTATTGAATAAAGTGAATTTTGCGATCATTAATCTAAATCCAATAACCTAAGAATAATCTGGCTATAGTATGATTACTTGAACTATATGTAGAGACATAAGAGTGGATCAAATTCAAGTATATAGTCAAAATGATCTATAGTACAGAGATAAGGCTGAGTACATTATCGTGGGGACACTATGGATGTGGCCCACTTTTGTATCTAATATAAACAATGTGATCACTAAATTGTACATGCGAAGACATATGAGTGGGGGCATCCTATGCAATGAGTATTGCATAAGATCGGACCATGAAGAAAATCACTCTCACTTTATAATGTCGTTTACTGTTGAGACTGATTTTTTCACTCGATAACCTAGGTAACTCGACCTTAATCCTGAGCTAACTATGAACTTCTATTTATTTAGAATTATTCTTAGATTTGCATGGGTGAGAGTGGCCCGAGTTCGCCGACTCAATAAACCTCCCATTCATAGGGTAAGACTGGGTGAATAGTTGGGGACATAGAGTGCAAGATAAAATTCACTCCTACCACTCCTACCCGCTTTTAGAGATAGTAGAGAGGTTGTTCCCTTAAAGACTGACTCCAGGTCTTGAACAAGGGGCCCCACCCTCTCATTGGCACGAGAGGGATTCGGTTTGGTGGTTGGACCACAAACCAATTGTTTATTAGAGGATCAGTGAGACTTAAGGAACAAGAAGTAACTTTAGGGGTAAAAACAGTAAATTGACCCAGCTCTGGTTACGAACAACCTATGAAGGATCAACTTACTAATCATGGTTATATCAAATGGACAGAAATATATCCATAGTGAGGGAAGTGCAACTACTAGGCTATAGTGGAGTGTTCGAGTAGTTAACGAATGTTGGTTAAAAGGTTAATGAGTTTAGCCAGTTAATCTCGAATCGTTGAAACCCATGATCTGTAGGTCCATTAGGTCCCCTTGCTAGCTCATATCGAACTAAACCTTAGAACAGTGTGACGAGTGAGTTTGAAGTGTTCGAACTCAAATTAGGGAATATACGCTAAATATATACGATATATTTAACCGCATTATGATTTAATTACGAATTAAACAAAATGAGAGAATTGGTGATATTTAAATAAGATTTAAATATTTTAATTATGAATAGGGATTCATAATCCATATGTGCCAAAATTGATTGGGATTGGCATTTGATTTAATGTTAAATATTAATTGAATTGTTTAATTAATCATTTAATATTATTTTGATTTGAAATTAATTGTTGAATTAAAATAGAGAAAGTCATTATGTTGACTTCACTTAATGGAAAAATACATGTTTGAGTTAGTTGAATATTGAGTGTCAATATATGGTTTAACCAAACTTGCATGTTTGCCACATAATCCCACAAATTTGAGTGAAATTTTGAGTGTTAAAATTTGGTAATCTCAAATTTGCATCAGCATGCAAATATCACTCTATAAATAGAGTGATCAAGGTACATGTGAAGTCTTCTGGTAAAAACCTTGAGAAAAACCCTCACAAACTCTCTCTTCACATATACTAAATCCCTTTCAAGTTTAGTCACTCACCAGATTCCACAATCTCATTCTAACGTTGGAGAATAGTAAGGAAGACACTAGTGGTGGTTCGAAACCAGTTCGTGAGGAAAAAAGAATCTGAACTACAAAAGGTTAGTACTCAGACTCCTTGAGTTTTAATGCTTATGAACATGCTAGCTAATTTACAATAGTTTTAATGCTTTTGCACGTGTTATAGTAACACCCTCATTACAATTGGCAACTGCCCCTGCTCGCACGCTCATGCCCATCGCGTTCCTTCTCCCCGACTTGTTCGCTCTAGCCTCATCGACCATTCCGAGCATGTGCGTGCACCCACCGTCACCTCAATCACGCCCGCCGCTCGTTTCGAGCACGTGCGTGCACCCAACATCGCCTCTATCATGCTGCCCTGCATGCGTTAAATGCAATTTGTGCGGATAGAATGTCGGGTGTGATCATACCAGCACTAATGCATCGGATTCTATCAAAACTCCGCAGTTAAGCGTGCTTGGGCAGAGTAGTACTAAGTTGGGTGACCACTTGGGAAATTCTCGTGTTGCACCTCTTTTTTTAAGCGATCATATAGCACTAATGCACCGGATCCCATCAAAACTCCACAGTTAAGCTTGCTTTGGCGAGAGTAGTACTAATTTGGGTGACCACTTGGGAAGTCTCCTTGTGTTGCACCCCTTTTTTTTTATTTCTTTTACTCGTTATTTCAATTTCTCCCCGCTCTTTTCTTCCTTTCTTTATAAATGGTAACCGCCACCGCTCGCACGCTCACGCCTATCGCGTTCCTTCTCCCTAACGTGTCCGCATGAGCCTGCCACGGTCGCCTCAATCATGTCCGCCGCCCATTTCGAGCACCCACCGTCACCTCGATCATGTCAAGGCTTGGACAAGATTTGGATCTTGTTCTTGTATTTTGATTCTCGACCTTGTTTACTGTGTTTGAAGGTGAAGGAGAATTAATGGTAAGTCTTTCTTGACGATTTAAGGAAGAAAAAGAGAAATTCAAGCGAAAACAAAGAAGTTCCCAGAGAAGGGACGGAAAGAGGCAATGGAATTGTGAGACCGATAGGGTTTGGTGTTGTTTTGATTTGCTAAGATCAGCTGGCCGGTCATCCACGATAAGGAAAAGTTAATAGAGCTTGTCCGTCACAGCACATGCGATGTCCTTCCCTACTGACGTTTGAAAAAACCACTCTCTTTTCTTTTTTGTTCCTTCCCCCGACTCTCTTGGAACGTTCATTCCTTGTAATCAAAATCCTACATCTAAACCTTGTTCTTGCTACTTACGGACTCTAACTCCTACAAGTTGAACTCGCTCGCAGGTAGGGAGAATTGGTTCACATTCATTCTCAACTAACCAACAAAGTGACTAGTGGTGGGACATAACATTACCGGTCTTAGGATTTTTTTTTTTTTTTTTGACAAAAGCGGAAAACTGGTAAAAGAAGAAGATGTTCTGTTTTCACGGATCCAATTGACACATTGGCAAGATCATGACTATTTAAGCGATTATTAGCTCAGACACTATTCTATTTATAGTTGTTGATCTATAGGGTAATTAGCCTAAAAATAGCATGTCTGACTGATGGAGAGAAGTAAGTAGGCAAGTCTGGGACTTTCAAATAAGAACTTCTTTGTCAAGCCGTCATCTTGGATTTTTTTTCGGTATGCCGGGAAAAGTGTCTCACCTTTTCTACATTCATTCTTAGACAAATTTCCTCGGGTCTCTATAAAACAGAATGAAAAGTCAGGGTAGAAGCACAAAAGGAGAGAGGCAAAGTCGAAAGGGAGGAATCAGTCTAGTGCTAGTACTTAGTGAAACTTCTTTATCTACATTTTTTAGTGGTTTCTTTGGAAAGAAAGACAAAAGAAAATAGAGGTAAGGAAACCGTCAACCGGAAAGATAAAGCACATTCTCTTATATACGACTATTCTTTTTACTTTTTTACTTTTCCTCCTGTTGTTGCAAAAATCAAAGTCCCTTTTGCCGCATTTTTCTTTTTAGAGGTCTAGCCCATGCAGTCTTTCATTTGTAGCTGAAGGGGACAGACTTGTCGGCAACCAACTAAACAATTCAAGTCAAGCTAGACAAGTTCTCTTAGATCTTCTCTTTTGGTTACTCTCATACGGGAGGAAACTATTGAAATTATACTTGATTCGGAATAGACAAGATTCAGCCTGAAAAAGTCTCATGCCAAACATCGATGCAAAGGTTAGATTGAACCACCTCTATCTCCAAACCACTGCAGGACCTCGCAAAGAGAGAACGTATTTTTTTCTCTGACTTTCTCTCTCATTCCCGGAGCGAAGAAAGCGGGCCTTGCCCCAGCTACCGCTATCCTTGGGGGAGACACGTGGGTGAGACAATAGAAGAAGTACGAGTTGTGGAGAAGATCATGAGATCTTTACACTCAAGATTTGACTACATTTCTGTGGCAACCCGCATGTGTTAAATGCAATTTGTGTGCATTGCATGTCGGGTGCAATCATATCAGAACTCCGCAGTTAAGCGTACTTGGGCGAGAATAGTACCAAGTTGGCTGACCACTTGGGAAGTCCTCGTATTGCACCCCTTTTTTTTTTTTTACTCGTTATTTCAATTTCTCCCCGCTCTTTTCTTCCTTTCTTTACAAATGGCAACCGCCCCGCTCACACGCTCAAGCCCATCGCGTTCCTTCTCCTCGACGTGTCTGCGGGGGCCCCACCGGCCGTTTTGAGCACGTGCGTGCACCCACCATCGCCTCGATCACACCCGCCACCTGTTCCAAGCACGTGCATGCACCCACAATTGCCTCGATCATGCCGCCTCGCATGCGTTAAATGCAATTTGTGCGCATTGCATGTTGAGTGCAATCATACCAGCACTAATGCACTGGATCCCATCAAAACTCTGCAGTCAAGCATGCTTGGGCGAGAGTAGTACTAAGTTTGGTGACCACTTGGGTAGTCCTCATTTTGTACTTCTCTTTTTATTTCTTTTACTCGTTATTTCAATTTCTCCCCGCTCTTTTCTTCCTTTCTTTACAAATGGCAACCGCCTCTGCTCGTACGCGCACGCCCATCGCGTTTCTTCCTTTCTTTTTAATCCAATGAGGTTTGGCAAATGTAATAATGTACCCAAAAATTATTAATTTGCAACGATACTTTAGTGAGTTAAAGCAACTGTTACCGAGGGGCAGTCAATCACTCTTTCACTAAACCAAGACATTCTTGACTTAAACACTAATCCTAGAATAACTCTTATTCCTTTAATGTTTTAGTTATCGCCACTTTGGTGAAGAATAAACTAACTCTTAGTAATTCTTCGTAAGTGTGACCCGCCATTTTCAGACCTCAGAGATCGGCCCCAACAATGATATCGAATGAATAAGCCAAAGTTGGGAATGGACCTAAGAAATCCTATCCATTTCTGGAGTTTGCATTATTTCGACTCCCATGTTACAACCTTCCGAATGGGTAGTTGCTCTAGGGCAACATGCAGGTGGAACATGGAATCTCACGGTGCAACCTAGTGGTAGAGACCATAGGACGTGTTGATATACTTCCTTCTCCCACTTACTATAAATACTTTCTCTATTCACCTTATTACTTACTCATGCAAATACCTTCCGACTGGAGGCCGCTCCCAGGGTGACACGAGGCCGAGCATGAATCTCACAATGTGAATTTTTCAGAGAGCGTGAAAAGAAAACGATGTATCTCATATACCTTTTTCCTCCCACTAAGTATTTTAGATGGTTGAGTATACTCATTACTTAGGTATATTTCTGCTAATTAAATATAATCTAAGTCTAGGTGATTTTTCCAAGTATAACATTTATACTAGATTTTTAGCTATGATGTCTAGGTGAATTTTCATTTCTTTAGAAAAAAAAAATCCTTACATCATTAACGCATGCTCATAAAATTAGGCTAACTAAGCTCAAGTGTTGACCCGATCTCCAGGTAGCAGGTGTTCCATAAACCGTCGACTTAAGTACCTCCAGCCTTAGACAAGATAATACCAGGTGAGCTTTCTTGTAACCGCAGTTTTACAAGATATCGACCTATTTTAACTATTAAAATTGATCGCGCTTGGTTGTTAACCCTAAGTGAGCATGCATTTATCTTTGTTATAGATTTTAACGTCTATCTCATTTTATGAAGTTAAAAATAACCTATAACATGCATCTAACATGCTTTATATAACTATTATATAATCATCCATTACATGTAATAATATAACAATTTATATGTATCACTCATGGAACCCTATAACATGCATACTATACATTATAACACTTATAACATAATTGTAATGCATGAAACATGCTTAGCGTATGGTGGGATTTTAAATCTATATGGCATATTTTATGCGTATACATTTTCTATTTAATTAAAACATACATTCACAATGCATAATTAATTAAACACGCTAAAGTTGATTGGTTTTGGCATTTTAAAGCAAGCAATTAACTAAATTATTACATTAATAATTAAAAATAACTTGAACCGTTTTTGAGGATTACGAACCAGTCGAACAAACCCATCAAAACGTTGAACCGGACCCCAACCGGCAGAAAAACACCCAAATCGCCTCTTCCATCTTCTTTTTTGATTCAACTTGCTTTTGTTTTCATTATTGATCAATTACAACCTAAAATGGACTCTAATGACTCCATAAAAATTACATACATTCTTCACTCATTAAAGGCCATATAGATTAGACCAATTACAATAATTGTATCAAATGGAAGCATAAAAAAAATGTCAAAACCATAAACATTACTTTAGCAACCACAAAACTTCATTCATGAAATGGAAACCACCATACTCAAATTAATGTAAATAAAGTGCCTAAAACTTGCTATGGTGTTAATATAACACATGCGGAAGCAATTTGGATATTAGGCACTCTAAGTCCATCAATTATAATAAATTAGCTAGCAAGTTCAAAAGCATTAAAATTCAATGAGTTTGAATACTAACCTTTTGTAGTTTAAATTCTTTTTTCCTCACGAATTGCTTTCGAACCACCACTAGTGTCTTCCCTACTATTCTCCCGCCTTAAAACGGGATTGAGGAATCCAGTGAGTGACTAAATTTGAAAGGAATTTAGTATATGTAAAGAGAGTTTTGAGAGAATTTCTCAAAGTTTTTCAAGAAGACTATCATGTACCTTGATCACTCTATTTATAGAGTGATATTTGCATGTTCATGCAAATTTGAGATTATCAAATTTTGACACTCAAAATTTCACTAAAATTTGTGGGATTATGTGGCAAGCATGCAAGTTGGAATTGACTAAATTTTAACCCTCAAAATTCCACTAACTCAAATATGGATTTTTCCATTAAGTGAAGTAACATTTTGACTTTCTCTATTTTAATCCCACGATTCATTTAAATAATTAATTTCAAATTAAAATAATATTAAATGATTAATTAAACAATTTAATTAATATTTAACATTAAATTAAATGTCAATCCCAATTAATTCCAAGCATATTGATTATGAGTCCCTATTAATAATTAAATATATAAATCTTATTTAAATATTTCCAATTCTCTCCTT